CTACACACAAAAGAAAGAGAAATCTCCATTTGGAACAAATAGACAGTTGTCCCTGGATGTGTCTATAATGGAAGATATTTCCTCTATTCTTGACCCAAGGTTTCAAAACTCCTGTTGTCTCTCACTCAGGGGCAGACTGACAACTCATGGGGCCCCCCGGGCAATAGGGGATCATGGGACCCCTGTGTTCTTGCCCAAACTCAAAAAAGCCTATAAAAAAGGTACCAGGGGCATCTCATGGGGCCCCCTACTGACCCCGGGCCCTCTGGCAGTGCCTGAGTTTCCAAATGGTCAGTCCGCCCCTGCTCTCACTTCAATACTTCCTCAGCTTCTCTGCAATTCAAAGACTACAATCTTAAAGCCTATTAATCGGGAAGCTTGCTCATTGGCACCGCATCCCGATTAATAGCTGAGATTAAGTTATGGTAAAGATTATTTTTTGGTGCCAAGATGACATAGACAAGATAAAAAAAAGTAACAATTGTTATTACAACATTGTAGATGTAAAAATCACAGTAGATTAAAAGATTGTTACAAACAATGTTATATAGACAATGCCTCCCCCCGTTTATATGTGACCCATGGGTACAAGACCCCCATCTGCCCAATTTGGGCTAAAGAAATATATAATATCACTCAAAGGGCAACATTAACCTTGCTGGGGGTATTTCCACAAATGGGTTGTTGATTTGCATTTCGCAGGGAATAAGTGCTTCTTAGGGGAGTATTTTAAAACATGCACTTTAAAGGTCCACATGAATAAGAGGAAAGAGCCAAGGACACCAACTCCACAATGACCCCCCCCCCCAGGGCAGGTGTGGGGGCAGACAAAATGGCAGACTAATTGAGGGGGGGAGACTGCTCTTATAGTCATCCATATGATAAGTTAGGGGTAAAAGATTATATTTGTGTAAGGTTGTCTATCTTAAAACACAGTCTCAGTGAGCTGTACCCAGGACTGAAGACCTGTAAAATATAAGGAGGCTGCCCATATTAAGCCTCAGCCAGTTACTCCATACAATGGCCATGTACTGCCATAAATTACCCTCTCTACATTCCTGCGCAGCACACCCATGTTGTATGACGATTTTTGTCACAGTATTGCACAGAGTGGCCCCGAACCTCCTCTTCTGAGGTCCCCCGCCGGCGCTCTCAGCACCTCCATCTGTTTCCCGTTAGGGAGATTTCCCTTAATTTCCTGTCCCATAGCCAAAACAGGAAGTGAGAGGAAATTCCTCCAAAGTGAGGGAACCCTGGTGTCACCAAAACTAGTGTCCCCATTGGAAGATCTCCCTTCTGTTAGTGTCCTGATGTCAACCGAAAATTTGGGATTTTCTTTCGCTTTCAGTGATAATGGTAAACAGGACAAATAGAGTGGGAGAATTTCCCTAATGGTGACGCAGATAGCAATAAATACCTGACATGTGTTCTAATCCTTTGGCCTCATGCACTCAGGACGTTAAAAAAAACTCTTAGAAGTTGACCTTCTGTCCTTTTGCAGAAAAAAAACGCCTGACGCTTGTAAAAGTGTCTATCACTTTTACAAGCATTTAGGTGGATTTACAAGCATCAAGCGCTGATAGTGATGATGAATGATAATTTATTCTACACTATATTGCCATACCTTCGGCTCCTGTGGTGAGCTTCTCCCCCTAGGAGGATCCTTGGCTGGTTTTGCATAGTCCTGACCCTGGAGAAGTCCGGTCCCTATTGATGGCTTCCTGAGACCCCCATAAGGATCAGCATTAACGCTATTATACAAGTAGTGTTCTGGTGAGTGCACATCCATAGAAGGTGGTGGAATCCTATGTTGGAGCATGAGCGCTCTTGAGCATCCCAGCTGGTATTGCTGCACCTTGTAGTTCCATGAGCACCGGGCATTGCTGTGACCTGTAGTGCCACGGACTATGTATAATCACTAATATTGCTAAAAAGCACACACATATCACTTGGCACTTCTGTGACCTGTACTGCCTCTAACTATTTATGTTCACTATTTATGTTCAGATTTTTAGAGAGTTTTTTTATGGTTCTATGATTTTATATGATCTGAGATGTTTTTATTGTATGAACACTTCTATCACATAAGCACTCTATGATTGCATTTGTCACTTATGCTTTAGCGCTGCACTTACATTTGAATTGAACACTGACAAGATGACACCACTGATGCTTTCTACTGTGAATGAAGTGGTGACACCCCTGCTGGGTAAGCCCGTGACACTGGGCACTTTGAGAATCTCCTCAGTCTCAAGGGTTAAATGATGCTGGGTGTCTTGCAGCTCAGAAGACCAAGAAAATCAGAGTGGACAACTTCAGATTGAAGGTGGTATTGCAACCTGGGCTATTTTTAATTTTTTTTTTAATTTCCCTAAGTCCAAATCCAGTCAAATTTTTCTTTGTTCTGATTTGGATAGACCTAGAAATTCTAAATATATTTGTCAACTTTTTTTTCTGTCCTTGACTTGTTGGGGTATTTCATCTTAGCCAAGTGACATAAAAGGAGGGAATCAGTTGTCACCAGGAGACACAGACAGTAATAGTAATAATCTAGTAGATGTTTTAAACTTTTCCAATTGTACCTAAAAAATGTTGCTCTAGTCTGCATCCCCACGAGAGGGATTTTTAAATCAATTCCTGGTTCTACAGGAAGTGATAATAAAAATCGCCTTCACCAGCTGGTGTCTTTTTTTTTAGCTGATCCAATTGTTAGATCCAGAGGAAATTTAGGAAAACCCATTCCCCCATCTCCTTGATTGATTAGCTGCAATGGACGTTAGGGGAGCCACTGGGGTCTAATAGACCCCAGATATCTCCATAAAGAGGACCTGCCCAAGCCATCACATAGGGGCTTGTTAGAGCCATGATTCATGGTAAACTCTAAATTATTATCCTGTAAAGAATTTTAAAGAGTAACTTCACTTCTAAAGGAAAGTTCTGCTTTTCTTCTTCCTCCCTCTCTCTATTTCCACTTTTGGGCACCTTCTTTTTTTCGAGGGGGGGGGTGCCTGGTTTTGACAGTTGCCTGCTCCCACTTCTGCCTGGATTGCCTAGGCAATCCAAGCAGATGTTCGTCCTCCCCCATCCGCAGCCTTCTTGGGACACGTTCCAGGATACAGCAGGACCATTCACGGGGCACAGCACAGCTCACGCATGTGCAGTGAGGAGCTGGCTGTGAAACTGCAAGGAGTCATAGCTGGCTTCCTATAGTTAGTATGACAGCTCTGGGGACCCGAAGCCCAGCAAGGAACCGACTCGGGTGAGGACAGCACTGGGTCCCTGGACAGGTAATTGTCCTTTTATTAAAAGTCAGCAGCTACAGTATTTATAGCTACTGACTTTAAAATGTTTGAGGACAAACTGAAGAACCTCTTTAAACATCACCTATGCAAAATTTTAGGTACCGTATGTTTTTGCATTTGACAAACAAATAAACGCAAACACCAAACAACATAACATAAATTGCAACAACCACTATTTTATTCTCCAGGACCTCTGCTTTCATAAAATTGGTAATGCTTGGGAGTTCTAAGTAATTTTCTAGTAACAAATTGCTAATTTTAACATGTGTGTGAAAGGCGAAAAAATTACCTGAGCCATGAAGTGGTTAAAGAGGACGTTGACTGAAAAAAAAAGGGTTTTTTATCTCTTCTCTACTCTATCCAGCTGGAGCTGGACCCAATTTTTAATCATTTCCTATATCTCATTTATATAATATTTTATCTATTTTTATTTATCTAAATTAAAAAAAAAAGCTTGGTGAAATTGAAGCAAAGCCTTCATCACGTCACAGAGGGAGAACTTGAATATTATAGGATGAAGAAAGTTCAGGTGGTCTATAAAACAATGAGATTTCAGAGATAATTACTTACTGCGAAACATTACCGGGGAGTCGGGGACTAATGTATTCATTAATTCTGCTTAGGAACACCTTTTCAATTCTCAGACATTCCTGAAATATGAATTGGAAAAGGTTAACAGCTCATGAGGACAATTAGGTCTTTTCACTCTATCATGTCAAAGTAGCAGTGTGGCCCCCTCATGTCGTTCACTGTTATTCCCAGGTTGCCTAGCAACCACATCGCTCCGTCTGCTCGCACATCAAGCAAGGACATGATTTTACACCACGATACACAACAATTTTATGGCATTTTAAAAGCAGAGCTAATTCACTATTTACCTGGAATAAATGCAAGTGTGCATACAATATTTTCGCAACAACAAAAGTTGCTAAAACAAAGCGGCAAGGAAAGGGCAAGGGTACTTTGGAAGCTGGAACTCCATCTTTCAGCAAAAGGTGTCACCTGAAGCAAATGGAGTTCTTGTCGCTGCAACTGTTTTCCTTCTAGTTATTTGCACATGCACAACATTGCTTTTATTTCCTCAATGTCTTTTTTTCTAAGCCAGACTACAGACAAATGGCTAAATACACAAACAAAGGGTTTATATTTCTGAGTATCCAGTCCTGAGATTCACTTTATTCTACTGAAGGTATGCAATACAGATGGGTCACCTCCCCAGCACGTGGTTGGACAATAAAAGAGCAGCAGGCCAAACAGGTCATCTCTCTACTCACTCTGTTATCTTATGCTGTCAGCCTGCTTATTGTCAGAAAAAAATGGAGGCAACCTAAACAGTTAATCACTGGCTCTCCAGAGGATTTACCCCCCTTCCTGACCAGGCCATTTTTTGCATTACAGCGCTGTGTTATTTTAACTGACAATTGAGCAGTCATGAAATGCTGCAGCCAAATTAAATTTATGTTTTCCTTTTTTCCCACAAATAGAGCTTTCTTTTGGTGGTGTTTTTGATTTCTGCGCTATAAGCAAAAATTTACCAACACTTTTGGAAACAAATAACAATATTTGTTACTTTTTGCTATTAAACATGTTCATTATAAAATGTAAAATGTATTCTGCTACATGTCTTTGCTAAACAAAAATCCCAATACATGTAAATTAATTGGTTTACGCGAAAGTTATAGGGTTTACAAATGGCAGTATATATACTGGAATTTTTTTTTTTTTTTTTTTTTTTTACTAGTACTGGCGGCAATCAGCGAGTTATAGCAGGACTGCAGCGGGCATTCTGACACTGAGGGGGAACTGACAGTGTCACTGACATCCCCAGTGATACCAATAAAGTGATCAGTGCTAATAAAAAGCACTGACACTGTACTAATGGCACTAGGCAGGAAGGGGTTAACATCTGGGGTGATCAAAGGGTTAACTGTGTGCTGTTTTACTATGTGTACTGTTTCTGTGTTTCACTGTAAGCACACTGCTTTGTATAGCAGGAGCTGACGGGAGAGATCTGTATTGTTTACATATATGTCTTTCCCTCGTTAGAAATCCTAAGAGATCGCCGGGTGCCGGCAGAGAATCACCAGCCGGGAAATGGTGATTGATAGCCAAGGCCGCAAGCGGTGGCGCGGGTAGGGCGCATGTATATATATACTGTATATATATATATATATATATATATATATATGTGATTTTGCGTATCCATGCGCCCTGTAGAAGTATTTCTGCTATAGGGTGGCACAGAAGTGGTTAAGGACCGCCCCATATACGTTTACTGCAGGTTGTTGGCCCCATTGTGCTGAGTCACATACATGTACATGATCTGGCATTTCTCGGTATAGGGAGCATGCCCTGCACCGGATCTGTGCTGTCATTCAGTACAGCACAAGTCAGTCAGCAGGTCCCAGCCAATGATTTATGGCCGGAACCTGCTGACTTTCTTAGCGAATCACAGCACAGAGCCCTGTGTTTACTAACAACACAGGGCTCTGTACAGAGAGCAGTAATGTGGCTGTTTCTTTTTTGCTCCCTGCAAAGCAGGGAGAAAAAGCAGCCACACTCTTACTAAAAACAGCACATTGCACACATTACACATTGTTAGGCACACAATGAACCCCTTCATTGCCCCTAGATGTTAACCCCTTCCCAGCCAGGGTCATTAGTTCAGTGACAGTGTATAGTATTAGCCCTGATCACTTAGTGTCACTGGGGATTTCAGTGTCAGTCAGTTCCCACCCAGTGTCAGATAAAGTCAGATTGTTGGCCTTACTATCACAGTCCCATTATAAGTCGCTATACTAGTATAAAAAAAGTAAATAAATAAAAATTCCAATATATACACCATAGTTGGCAGACATTGTGATTTTTGCACAAACCAGTCAATATACACTTATTGAGATTTTTTTTTACCAAAGACGTGTAGCAGAATACACTTTGGCCTAAATTTATAAAAAATTAGATTTTTTTTTTTAAATTATTGGATACAGTATGTGATCAAAAACCACCAAAAGAAATCTCTATTAGTGTGAAAAAATAATATACAGTATCTCCCAGAAGTGAGTACACCCCTCACATTTTTGTAAATATTTTATTCCATCTTTTCATGTGACAACACTGAAGAAATGACACTTTGCTACAATGTGACGTAGTGAGTGTACAGCTTGTATAACAGTGTAAGTTTTCTGTCCCCTCAAAATTACTCAACACAGGCATTAATGTCTAAAACCGCTGGCAACAAAAGTGAGTACACCCCTAAGAGACAATGTCCAAATTGGGCCCAATTAGCCATTTTCCCTCCACAGTGTCATGTGACTAGTTAATATATTGCAAAGTCTCAGGTGTGAATGGGGAGCATTCACACCTGAGTGTTAAATTTGGCGTTATCGCTCTCACTCTCTCTTACTGGTTACTGGAAGTTCAACATGGCACCTCATGGCAAAAAACTCTCTGAGGATCTGAAAAAAAGAATTGCTGCTCTACATAAAGATGGCCTAGGCTATAAGAAGATTGCCAAGACCCTGAAACTGAGCTGCAGCACGGTGGCCAAGACCATACAGCAGTTTAACAGGACAGGTTCCACTCAGAACAGGCCTCACCATGGTCGACCAAAGAAGTTGAGTGCACGTGCTCAGCGTCATATCCGGTTGTCTTTGGGAAATAGACGTATGAGTGCTGCCAGTATTGCTGCAGAGGTTTAAGGGGTGGGGGGTCAGCTTGTCAGTGCTCAGACAATACGCCACACACTGCATCAAACTGTTCTGCATGGCTGTCGTTCAAGAAGGAAGGCTCTTCTAAAGATGATGCACAAGAAAGCCCGCAAACAGTTTGCTGAAGACAAGCAGACTAAGGACATGAATTACTGGAACCATGTCCTGTAGACTGATGACACCAAGATAAACTGATTTGGTTCAGATGGTGTCAAGCGTGTGTGGCGGCAACCAATGGGGAGTACAAAGACAAGTGTGTCTTGCCTACAGTCAAGCATGGTGGTGGGAGTGTGTCAGGAATGGATTCAGCACTGGTGGTGGGACTCTCCTGCCGTGTGGGCTGCAGTACCAGAGCTGACCAGCGGGGTGCTCTCAGCACTGGTGGTGGGACTCTCCTGCCGTGTGGGCTGCAGTACCAGAGCTGACCAGCGGGTGCTCTCAGCACTGGTGGTGGGACTCTCCTGCCGTGTGGGCTGCAGTACCAGAGCTGACCAGCGGGTGCTCTCAGCACTGGTGGTGGGACTCTCCTGCCGTGTGGGCTGCAGTACCAGAGCTGACCAGCGGGGTGCTCTTAGCAGCCAGAAGCTCACAATCAGCCAAACATGGGGCTGATTACAGAAAGGTGTATATAAGGCATAACCAGGCCTGTGCTCTGGGCCTTGGTGTATGTTTCCCCATGAGCCCCTGTATCCTGTTCCTAGTTCCTGTGAGAAGATACCTTGTTGCCGACCCTGCCTGATCCTGATTCCTGTTGATCGTCTCCTGTTCTGACTACTGGCTCATCCCTGACCATCCTTCTGCCTGATCCTCTGTACTGCGCTGTCCGTGAGTTACTGAACCCGGCTTGTGACCTTGACCATTCTCTGCCTGCTCCTTTGATACCTTGCTGCCCGCACGTTGCTGACTTGGCCCGTCTGACCACGCTCACTACTCTGCCATCCATCCATCCTGCACGGATCCAGCCTTACCTGCACATACCTCTGGTGGATCCCTCTATCACTAGCAGGTGTACTCAGGGGCCGCGACCTGGTTCCTGTCTGCTCCAAGTCCATCCCCACCATCAGGGGCCCTGGTGAATAGCAGACTGGGACTTAGACTCCGCGCCCTGGGGAATCCTGCCCTGAGGACCGCTAGAGGTACCACCAGGCAGTTTGTTACAGAACCCTACGGCCGGCCTGACCATTCCACCTCTCCAGCCCTGACTATGCCTGTGTTCCTGCACCTCCTAAGATTAGTGGAAGGTTAGTTTGCTCACTGTGCGTTTATTTATATATATATATATACAGTTGTGACCAAAATTATTCAACCCCCAATGCTGTAAAGGGGTTTAGGGACTATAGTGTACATTTGGAATTGTATTCAGAATCAAATCCTACAAGGACGTTGTAACTACCCCAAATGCAACTAAAATGACATCAATTGTTTATGTAATACAGTAGTAAATGGTTCTTATGTGGTTTCTTCATTGCCACAAATTATTCAACCCCTTAAAGACTACCACTCTGAAGAACAGAGGTTCATACAGGTGCTTTCCATCAGGTATTGAAAACACCTGTGGATGTCACCGAGCAGCAATCAAGCATAATAAGCACCAATTAGGCAGCTTTAAAATGACTGTGATACTCAGCTCCTTCTAGACATTTACTGGTGTGGTTACAAAACATGGTGAAGGCAAGAGAATGGTCCAGGAAGACAAGAGAAGAGGTGATTTCTCTTCACAGGAAGGGCAATGGCTATAAGAAGATTGCAAAGATGTTAAACATACCAAGAGACACCTTAGGAAGCATCATTCGCAAATTCAAGGCAAAGGGCACTGTTGAAACGCTACCTGGTCGTGGCAGAAAGAAGATGCTGACTTCGACTGCTGTGCGCTACCTGAAGCGTAGAGTGGAGAGAGAAGTCCCCGTGTGACTGCTGAGGAACTGAGAAAAGATTTGTCAGATGTGTGGGTACAGAAGTTTCAGCCCAGACAATAAGACGCACACTGCGTAATGAAGGCCTCCGTGCCAGAACTCCCAGGCGTACCCCCTTGCTGTCTCCAAAGAATAAGAAGAGTCGACTGCAGTATGCCAAAAGCCATGTGGACAAACCACAAAAGTTGTGGGATAGTGTTCTGTGGACTGATGAAACAAAATTAGAACTGTTTGGGCCCATGGATCAACGCTATGTTTGGAGGAGGAAGAACAAGGCCTATGATGAAAAGAACACCTTGCCTACTGTGAAGCATGGTGGAGGGTCAATCATGCTTTGGGGCTGTTTTGCTTCTGCAGGTACAGGGAAGCTTCAGCGTGTGCAAGGTACCATGAATTCTCTTCAGTACCAGGAGATATTTTGGATGGAAACGTGATGCAGTCCGTCACACACCTGAGGCTTGGGAGACGTTGGACCTTTCAACAGGACAATGATCCCAAGCATACCTCCAAGTCCACTAGAGCATGGTTGCAGAGGAAAGGCTGGAACATTTTGGAGTGGCCATCGCAGTCACCAGACTTAAATCCGATTGAGAACCTCTGGTGGGACTTAAAGAAAGCAGTTGCAGTGCGCAAGCCTAAGAATGTGACTGAACTGGAGGCCTTTGCCCATGAAGAATGGGCGAAGATACCCGTAGATCGCTGCAAGACACTTGTGTCAAAGCTATGCTTCACGTTTAAAAGCTGTTATAACTGTAAAAGGATGCCTGTACTAAGTACTAAGATTGAATGTCACCTTGGGGGTTGAATAAAACTGATAATGCTGTGAGCACAGAAAAGACATTTGTGTTTATTTCATTATAACTGTTTATGTTATATTTGTCTGACCTACAAGTGCCTCTTTAATGTAAATGTAAGCAAGATGACTGAATGATCAAAAGCAATGTCCAAACTGGCCAAAACACTCAATTTCAGTGGGGGTTGAATAATTTTGGTCACAAACTGTATATATATATATTCTGGGTGGCTAATAATAACCTGTATTATACTATACCTGAACCTGCGTTTCCCTGTGTCAGTCCACACCTTTCTGGTCATTCCTAGATTCCTGACATCACACCAAGGCCTTTCCTGAACCAGAAGTGGCTGCACAGGGAAGCCATCTTGACTTGTCG